AACCAACAGCATTAGATTTGATCGCAAGTATTGACTGTACCACGTCCCAATCGTCCAAGCAATCAAAACGGAAACCCTCCAAGAAATGCTCTCCGAGCGCGCGTTGTACGCATCATAGCATATATGCTTGTGGGTACATCTAAAAACTTGTTATTTACCTCATTACGTCTATCGACTCGGAGCACAGTTTATTTTTGCTGATTATTCCTATTTCACGGATACGTTTTCACGTTTGCTTAGAACCGATTGCTACGCTGAAACTGTGCTCATAGTATTTACCTTTCTGAGACCTTATTGCTCTATTCACGTCTTTCCTCAGTTTCTTGTAGTCAGAATAGATCGCATCTGTTCGGAAAATCTTCCATTTATTGTACACACAATTCCTTTCTCTAATTAATTTTTTTTATCTGTTTATTAAACCATGGACGGTTTGAAGAGGGTTTAGACTTTTTTACGTAGTGATCGAAGAGGGTATTTATTTTGTCTTGCAGAAAACTGATTTGTTCATCACTAGATATCATTTTATGCACTGATCCCCAGTTTATTGCATCAACGGCAATCTGGAGCTGATCGTATTTACTATGCATAAAATCACGGTAGAAATAGAATTTATTTCGCGAATTGCAATCAAATTCAAAGTCGTATGTCAGAAAGATTAAATCATGTTTGGAGAAATTGGGAATAGAAAGTTGATCATAAAGAAGAGCTTTTGACTTCTTACTAACGAAAAAAATGTCTAGTAATGTACTACTAGTTCGCGTAAAATGCGTAGGCATCGAGCAATTAACAGCGAATAGTCCAAGATTTTGCATGGACAGCGAGAAGTGGTTATCGCTTAGTAAGTCATTATTGAAGTCTCCTGTTATGGCAGTATTATGGTGAGCTAAACTTATGTCTTCAAGAAAGTCAATGAAATTAGAGTATTCAATATGTTTGTTTGGTCTATCCAAGTAATATCTTATCTAACTTTGTTATAATTTCCACAAAGATGTATTCTATAGAGCTGGTGTTTGAGGACACGCATTTCAGCCTGCACGAAAGACAGTTTTTAACGCTACACCACCACCATGCCCGATTCTGTCATGACGAAAAAGTTTGTAGTCACTAACATGAAACAAGTCATAGCTATGATGAGGAGTGAACCATGTCTCAGAGACACATACTACATCAACATTATACGATTCAAAGAAGTACCTAAACTCATCAATCTTTTTAGGTAGACTTTGACAGATGTGACAGATTTTCAGCCCATGCCTTTGCTTACTTAAAATTCGGATCATATTAAATGTATTGTCTTTGGCACAGTCTTTCCTATTTATGTTGTTATACACTATTTTTAAAGAGAACGATATTGCATTTCAAAAGGCGAATTACGACTGTATCGGCTAAAAAAGTATATGCCTAATGTATCTACGAGTATCGGTTGCGTGCAAATAGAATGTAGAGGTACTATAAAGGGAAGAGAGAGAGAGAGAGAGAGAGAGGAATATCTTCAACTTACACTAACAGGTCTATTCTGCACGTTACCGAAGATTTTGTAACCGGAAAATTTCATTACCAAAAAATGTTACCAGTTCTTGTCACCGCGATTCTAGGTACGTTGGTAATGCCGTTAAAATATTCAGCAATTCAGCTATGAAGAATTGTGGAAATTCTGGCATTGCATATTTCACGGGGAAATACTTTGTTACCAGCTTATCAGATAGTAACAAAATTTACCGTTTACAAGAGTACACAGAATTCGAAAAGGGGTTAAAATTTGACAAGAACTTAATTTACCGGTTACAAAACTTTTATTACCAGCGCAGAATAGACCTGTAAGTCATGTATACTTATGAACTAATCTCATTACATTTATCATTATGTTATTACTGTTGTTGCTGAGCGCTGCAATTTGGTTAACTTCGTCTTAGTATTGATTTGAGTCTTGTAAGTATTAAATACAAATTTTCGAAATATCTAAATTTTTTACGCCTCCATGATGCGTAAATGTTCAGACATCAATGTGGCAAAACCAGAGCTGAAAATGAAATTTCGTTCGAAGTGGCTAAATAAATGTTCGTGGCTGCAGAACAAAAATGGAGAGTACTACTGTATTTTATGCAACAGCAACCTGACTAACCCATTTGCGCATTTGAAACATCATGCTTCATCGAAGAAACCTCAGCGAAATCTTGATAAAAAAAGAAATCAGGAATGGTATTTTCAGGGATAGTAGTCGGGAGTTTTATTTCAAATTTTAGCTTAAGTGGAACGTTCAATCACTTTTTTTCTTGAGTTTTTGACACTTTGACCACGTTTTTCTCAAAATCTGGAGCTGATAGCATCTTTTGTAGAATATATCTGTCGGCCGCTGTGGTGTAGTGGTAAGAAGTGCGCGCTTCCACTCCGCAGCACCTGGGTTCAAGCCCTGGTCAAAGCAACATCGCAAAAATTTAGAAAAAACGTTTTTTCTTAACAGCGGTCGTCCCTCGGCAGGCAATGGCAAACCTCCGACTGTATTTATGCCATGAAAAACAGCTTCTCATAAAAATACAATCGCCGCTTTGTGTGACAACATCAAGGCACACGCCACAAGTCGGAGGAGAAGCTCGGCCAAACACTAACATATGTGTAAGCGCCAATATATTATTATTATCATATGTTCAACACATACAAGTCTATCAAAAACGTCTTCAACATTTGCCGCATCCAAGTCAGTGTTGTCCTGTGTTATCAACAGCAAAGGAAATCCGAACTAAACTATGGATACGCAATGTTTGAGTTGGCGTCACTTTAGCCACGATTTAAAAAAAAAGTAAAGCAAAGCTTGATATGCAAGAGAAAAAGTAATTTCTTTCCTCGTAGCATCCTCATTCTGTGAAGTCGAAAAAAAAGAAAATGGTGGAGAAGCAGAGCTGGGCGATAAGGATTACGATTACTAAATGATTAGGATTGCAGTAATCCCAACAAGGTAATAAAACAAGATTACGATTACAGTAATCCTTCATCGCACGAACTAAGATTACGATTACTGTAATCGTAATTTTAAAAAAGTCAAAATTACGATTACTGTAATCCTAATCCAAGTTCGTTCGAGAAACGATTACTTTAATTGTAATCCTGTACTTTCTGTTATAAGGATTTAGATAATTACATATTGTCCTCATATTATCGTTAAGCGCGCATTTATATTTCGCAAATTTATAGAATTACTTCGTTTAACATTGCTCAAAAAATTTTAATTAGAAAAATTTTAACTTTAAAATTATTATAATCATTCATCGAACAAACTTAGATTACGATTACAGTAATTGTAATTTTAAAAAATTAATTTAATAATTTTTGAAATTGCGATTAAAATAATCGTAGTCCTAGATGCAATCGATTACACATGTAATCCTTATCGCCCAGCTCTGTGGAGAAGAATAAAAAATTATAGTTTAAAAAACCTCGCAATTATAATTTCCATTCGTACTGTGATCAGGTATGTAACTTGAGCATAGAAATCGCTGCATTTTTTAGGCGCATCAATATTACATAGTTACATCCCGAGCTAATAAAAGGGAGGTAAAAAAACAAGAATCTCATAATCAATCCGGCTATGTACATATCGTCACCCTCATGCCAGAAACATGAATGTACCAATTTATCAGTTTTGAGTTATGTATTTGGTTCACTTGATTAACCTTTGGATGTTTTATGTTATACCAAAACTCAGAATAACATAATGTAGAGTTACGTCTCGTAAAAAAACTTTTGATTTGTAGTACATCTAATGTAACGCCTTACGAGTGGCAACCACGATTTGGGTGGCAACCCCGGTCTCCTCGAAATGGTGGTGGTCGAAAAATGACAGTTCAACTGTTTCCGGTGTAATTTGATTATTATTTCGATCGGTGCGATTCTGTCCACATGTGACAGAAGTTAATCTAAAAATAAATTCATCATCCGATTCGGATTATAAATTCAGGTGTGAGGCTTATACTCCACGTGACCAGCGAAATCGACAATACCTGTTATATTCGCGGAAAAGCCGACAATGACAGCTAGAATGACGCGAAACCAGATTATGGCTGCACTTGCAGATGCAGGAGTGGCTTTTGATAATGAAGCCACTTTGGTGCAACTCCGTGGGCTCTACGAAAGGGCACAACGCGGCAGCCTACCTCAGCAGCAACGCCCTGATGCTTTACAGCAGGCAGATGCACCACAGCAGCCAGATGCTCCACAGCAGCCAGCAGTACCACAGCAGCGCCCGCAAATTTTTCAGCAGCCAGACGTGCAACAACAAGGGGATGCGATACAGGCACCAACAACTATGCGCCGCCAGCTTCTGGAGCAACCGCCTCCAGTGGGGTCGGAGCGCTCGTCGCCGTCTACGGCCCGTCAGCGTTTATCTGAAGCTGAGGAAGAAGAAGAGCTACTAAACCGACAGCTAGCCATTGCCCGCAAAAGGCGAGAGCTGCAAATATTGCAACAGGAGCTGGGCGTCAATGAGAAACGTTTATACCTGGCCATTCTGGATGCTATGGTCGTCAAGTTCGATGGCTCGGAGCTACAAGACGTACGCAAGTGGACTGGTGACCTAGAGAACGTCTTCGAAGCGTACAATTATGCTGAACGCGACAAGCTAGTGGCAGCCCGCCACTTAATGACTGGGCAAGCGAAGCGTTTTGCATCCATCATAACGGTGCGAACGTATGGGGAGCTTAAAGCGGCATTATTGCAGGAGTTCGAAAGGGCATTTTCTATGCAGGATGTGTTTGCGCAATTGAAAGCACGCACGATGAAGTTAAACGAAACGCCCCGACAATACATTATCGAGATGCAGCTTATCGCTAGTCGCTCCAACATTCCAGAACTGGAATTAATCGATATAATAATCGATGGTCTCCAGGACAAGTCATCGCAGGTATCGATGCTTTACAGTGCCACCACTGTAGCCGAATTGAAGTTACTAATGGAACGATATGAGAAAAAGAAGCGAATCAAAACTCAGTTCGCTAATACATCCACTGGCGGAAAACAAAAGGAAGGAGCAGCAGCTGGTAGCACCCAGGGCGGTGCAATTAAACAAGAAAATGTCCGCTGTTTTAATTGCTTCGCGTACGGGCATTTCCAAAGCGCCTGTACGGCACCCAGACGCCATCCAAATGCTTGCTTTGTGTGCAATGAAGTAGGGCACACTCGATTCGATTGCCCGGAAAAGAAGACCAGAGGAGTAGCGGCGGCCGTGACAGCAGTAGAAGCAGCAGACGAAAATCTGGAAGATCGTCTAGTACGTAGAGTAGTGGAGCAACTTACTGCAAAAAATTGGGTGAGTGTTGCCTTTTATTTACAGGATAAGTGCACTGAACCAACCTATTGTTATGTTCTCTTTGATACCGGCAGTCCGGTTAGCTTTGTGCGGAAGTCCTGTGTGCCTTCTGGCTTTATTAATAAACAACAATCAACTATATACAGAGGCGTTGGAAATAAACGATTATTTACGTACGGAACGATTACGTGTAAAGTTTTATTTCGGGGAAGTGAAGTTAAACATAAGTTTTTAATTTTACCCGATGACCAAGCAATAGTACCTTGGTTATTCGGACGAGACATTTTGAGCCGAATGGGCATTAATTTATTTAAAATTATTAATGTAAAGTATGATTTAAATGAATTACTTGATTTGCGCAATAAAATAGCAACGAATAAATATGTTAATGACATTTTCAGTGCACTTAACTTGTTTAAAATTTCAAAAGAATCGGATACAAATTTTGTAAGAGCTGTACCCAGCGAGGGAAATCTGCTTGATGAAAGTGGGGAAAAGCTGGCGTTGGTTGAGACCGACGAGATGACAGAGGAGGAGTTAGACAGTGGGGGCGGGAAGAACGTTCCATTGAGACCATACGATATAAGTGATCAGTTGACAAGACCAGATGCTGACGCAGTAGAAAGGGTAATTCTTAAACATTATACAGAAGTAGTGGAAGGTAAAATGCTGAAAAGTTACTTTATGAAGATTTCGGTGAAAAGTGACACTCCTGTATATAGCGTTCCACGGAGACTGTCATTTAAAGAGAAAAAGGAAGTGCAAGAAATAATTGACAGTTTATTATTGCAAGGGATTATAAGACCCAGTGAGTCCCCGTATGCGTCGCCGATAGTTCTAGTTAGGAAAAGGGATGGGAAGTTACGGATGTGTGTAGACTATAGAGAGCTAAATAAAATAACTATTAAAGATCGGTTCCCGTTACCCTTAATTGAAGACTGCCTAACGTACCTGGCAGGGAAAAGTTATTTTAGTACGTTGGACTTACGAAATGGGTACCATCAGATTCCGATGCATGTAAACTCAATACCGTTGACAGCTTTTGTGACACCGATGGGGCAATATGAGTACAATTTTGTGCCATTTGGGCTGACTAACGCCCCGGCTGTCTTCCAAAGACTGGTGAACCAAGTTCTGAAGCCATTGATTAGCCGTGGGGAAGTGGTGGTCTACTTAGATGACATTCTAGTGGCCACAGGCACCATTAAGGAGCATAGTGAAGTGTTAGGGCGAGTGTTACGATTACTTGCGGAGGCAGGATTGAAACTGAACTTTGATAAATGCAAATTTGCGTATCAAGAGTTGGAGTATTTAGGTTATAGGATCAGTCGTAAAGGAATCCGCCCCAGGCAAAAGACAGGTAGAGGCCATCAAAACATATAGTGAACCACAGACGGCCAAACAAGTACAACGGTGCCTTGGGTTATTTTCCTATTTTAGGAGATTCGTACCAAATTTTTCACGAATAGCTAAACCACTTAGTCGATTGCTGGGTAAAAATGTCCGATTCGAGTGGACAGCCCAGTGCAAGGACGCTTTTCAGACTCTAAAGAACCGACTGGCGGAGTCGCCCGTTCTGAGTATATTTGACCCGAATCGTGAGACTGAGCTACACACAGACGCCAGTGCGCATGGATATGGGTCCGTCTTGCTGCAGAAGCAGTCGGACCATAAGTTCCATCCAATAGCATATTTTTCAAGAAGCACCACAGATGCCGAGACGCGTTACCATAGCTTCGAACTGGAAACGTTGGCAATAGTAGGGCTCTGGAGCAATTTAGAGTATTTGTCCATGGAATCCCGTTCACCATTGTGACAGACTGCAATTCATTCGTATTGGCTCTGAGCAAGAAACAGATTAATCCACGGATTGCTCGGTGGTCCCTAGCCTTGGCAGAATTTGATTTCAAGATTAAACATCGGTCAGGAGAGCAGATGGCACATGTGGACGCACTAAGCAGGTCAACATGTGTAGGCACAGTGGAGGAAAGTGAAGTAGACGTTAACATTCAGATAGCTCAGATGAGAGTCCCGGAAATTAAAGAGTTGAAAAAGAAGTTGGAAGTGGCTGAGGTGTCTGGATTTGACATGGAGAACGGACTGGTGTTCCATGTGGAGGATGGTAGGCGGCAACTCTACGTACCTAGGGAGATAGAAAATAATGTGATTCGATTAGTACATGAGACGTATGGTCATTTAGCGGTGGATAAATGCGTCGACCAGATAAAGAAACACTATTGGTTTCCGGGGTTAAGAAAAAAGGTTAAGAGTTTCCTAGCTAATTGTTTGAAGTGTATTTATTATTCAGGCCAGGCTAGAAGCAATGAAAGGTGTTTGTATAGTATTCGAAAGAAGCCCGAACCATGGGATACTCTACACATCGATAATTTTGGTCCTCTGGAAACGGTGAGGTCTAAGCGCCGGCATGTTCTGGTGGTCGTAGATTCATTTACCAAGTTCTTTAAATTATACGGTATAAACACTAGTACAAAAGAGACCGTATGTGCGTTGCGCAAGTACTTTACCGATTACAGCCGGCCCCGAAGAATTATCAGTGATAGAGGGTCTTGTTTCACGTCTGTTGAGTTTAGGGAGTTTTGTAGGCAGCATCATATAGAACACGTTTTGAACGCTGTAGCGTCTCCGCAGTCAAATGGGCAGGTCGAGCGGGTGAATAGGGTCTTGAAGAGTATGTTGGCCAAACTCACTGATCCTATTGATCATACAGATTGGAAAAAGAGACTTGTCGACGTCGAATTTGCTATAAACAACACGGTCCACAGTAGCACCAAACAGACTCCCTGTAAATTATTGTTCGGTGTGGAGCAACGGGGACACGTGGTTGACGAGCTAACCGAGTATCTGCAAGAAAAGTATGTTAGTGAAACAGTAGATCTGAAAAGGACCAGGGAGCAGGCGGACGAAGCTATTCAAACGTCACAGCAAAGAAACGAACGATACTTCGACCGCACTCACAAACCGGCCCAACAATTTGAGGTTGGCGAGTTTGTCGTGATCAAGAATGTAGACACTACAGTGGGTAAAAATAAGAAGCTTATTCCCAATTACGTCATCCAGAGACAATTAGGGCACGACCGTTACGTTGTAACCGACATAGAAAATTGCCAGAACACACAGATTCCTTACAGCAGTATCCTTGACTCGAGCAGACTCCGACGCTGGGTGCAGTTCAGCCCGAGTGGCGATGATCCGAGACAGGAAGGCAACAACTCTTTAAGCCCAGACGACGAAGTAACTAATTATTCATGTAATGATGACGAGTGTACCGACTATGAGTATTTGGAAGAGACCGAGGAGCCCCACTAGAGGCAATCGTAGGCGATTGTTTTGTCAGGTTAAGGCCGAATTATAGTACATCTAATGTAACGTCTCACGAGTGGCAACCCCGATTTGGGTAGCAACCCCGGTCTCCTCGAAAAGGTGGTGGTCGAAAAATGACAGTTCAACTGTTTCCGGTGTAATTTGATTATTATTTCGATCGGTGCGATTCTGTCCACATGTGACAGAAGTTAATCTAAAAATAAATTCATCATCCGAGTCGGATTATAGATTTCTCAAAATTTTCATTTTTACACATTCATGTTTCTGGCATACGTGCGACGATATGTAGGTATGCAATGTATGTACCAATTGCTTTATTTTCCCGTAGTACTTAACGACTTCAAACAAACGAAAATAATTCTTCTCTAATAATATGCCCAACTTCTATTGGCTTGTATTCATACTTAAAATTATACTCACTTTGCATACGCTTAGGTGCGTCAGTTAGGTTTCGCCACAGGGTGACAAGGCTGATGTTGCGATTATGCCTTTTACAAAAACATTAAGTATGCTGCTTATACACAAATCCTTAAATCCTTCGCTATTTTTTGTTTTTAACTTATTTCAAGTATTTTTTTTTTCAATCACAAAACTTGCATTTGTTTACTGTTATGAATGGTATTTATATATTATTTTTTTTTAAATAAAATAAGTTTGCACTTTCGTAACTTAGATATATATAAACAAGTCTACACGTATGTTGTTCAGAATGACAAAACAATGTCGAGAGGATTTGAGGACTTGTACGTCCTATTTGGCGGTAATGATATTATATATGAAAAAACAGACAGTGAGTGCTAGGAGTGGGTATAAAGTTTTCCTGCTGTAATCACGTGGCTCTTATATGTATATTTTGTTGTTGTTCCTTTTATATTTCACTAAACTATGAACGAAGATATTTACAAATTATGCAAGTTATATAATGCAGGTTATTAATTCACATACATACTCACTATTTATACATATGTATGTTTGTACGTTTGTACGTATGTATGCAAGTATTTTTTTCTTGTTTTCATACATACTTAATTTTGAATTGCACGACCCACTCCGTTGCTTATGCCAGGATTTTAACTCTCATTCCGGCGCGTTTGATATATCAGATCCGCTTTTCAGCATTAAGAAATCGATACTGTCCTCTCTCAATAAATGAATCATTAAAATAAAGACATAAAATCGGCTGGTGAATTAAGTTCTGTAGCTGAACAGTTTTAGATCTCGACACCTAACAAACTCCTGCCTATCGTTACTCGGCGCAAAAAATTGAAAATACTGGTTTCCGTACGTCATGCGGACTGCGCCCCTCATGCGGATGGGCGGGAATGGAGGGTAAAAACCGTTGGGATTATTATTATTATGTATGAACATATGTGTGTATGTATACATATTTAAGCTTGTTTAATAACTAATATTTTTTTTTATTTTGTTGGTATTTCTTTCTGAAAAGTTTTTATAAATCTTTTGCTTAGTCAAACACAATTGCTTCCTTAGCCTTCATGGAGGCATTCGAGCATACCAAATAAAAATATTCGACAAACTTTTATACCGAAGCGGAATAATGTAATTCTTAGTCCAAGCGTCCGCATATGTACTTAGTTGCTTACAATTCGTCATACTTTACCTCACTTTTGCATATTTTCATAAAAGCATAATAAGCATAAGCTTCCACATTTACACCCAATGGACCACAGCTTCAAGGATAATAAGAGTGTAAAATGATTATCTTCCGTACATTCACACATATGTATGTACATTAGGGCGCTTTTTTTGTGACTATTGTTTTT